GCACATTCAAAATAGATGGCAATCCAAAAATCCTCTTGAGTGGTTAGTGGTAGAGACACCCTCAGACCATCCCCTTGGGGTGACTCCTCAAACCTGGAAGGCAGAGCTATACAATTAGTGTGAAGGGACTATACCTATACAACCTATGGTGAAATTCTGGTGCTCCACCCACTTATACTTATACTTATCACATTCTACTTGACAGCTAGAATTATACTGGCACAGAATTGTGGTCAGACTTCACTTTCATTAAAAGTTTCTTCCATATTCTCATACTGTTGCTAACATTCTCTCTAGTCTCACTAGTGACACTTTAATCATTTTACCTTTTTTGTTGATAGGTTAGAAAAAGAATAGTCTTTGTTTCTATCATTATTTGAAATAGTACATTATACTGCAGATTCAGGGCTTAAATTCAGCCAGACCCCAGATGAGCTATTTCTTAGTTCTTATGAAACTGTACTTGCAACAACAGCCCAGGATACGATAAGCTCTGATTTTTTATTATTTAACTATTTGTCATTAATTTAATAATTTATCTCTTTACATTTTATTAAATTTAAATTATTTTATAGTTAATTATTTTATTTACTGATTATTATTTTTTGTTTTGTTTCTCTTTTCTGATGGCCTTCCATAGGGCTTCAGTACTTCTAATTTCAGAAATAAATCCTGGATATGCTGTTTATGAAATTGAACAGAGGAAAGAAATGGCACAGAGTAATCAAACAAATCACAATGACACTTCTAATGATTTATAAAAGTTTTTTTTTTGAAAGAATATTTGGAGTTTGCTTATGAAATGATTTTTAAGCATGGAAGGATGCTTGATTTGAACATTTTTGCAGTTTTTTTCTAAACGTACAATCTTAAGAAATTAGTTTTAAAAAAACTGCAATACTATTGCAAATTCTTCTTACAACTGTTGTAAGCATTATTAGTTGTGAAAGGAATTCTTCCTAAACAAAAATCAATTAAAAACTACTAAAGATCTATGAACAAGAACTGAAGATCAACAACTGAAAGATCTACTTTACATTTAAGAATTCTTATCATACAAAACAGCTGAATAATACTTATGAATATACTTCTTGAACATTGTCAACAAATTTGCTACTAAATATATAATAAAAATAACAATTTAGAATGTTGGAATCAAAATTTTATTTTAAAAATTAACATAGTGTTTAATTTCCTTTCCCTACATTTTGACAATTATCATATCTATATGTACACGGAGAGGAGTGTCGAACTCAAAGACCAAGAGGGGTGTCGAACTCAAAGACCATCCTCAGCAGAAAAGCTCTAACTACATGACTGCTTAGACAGTTGTAGAATTTACAATTTCTGTAAAATAACATGCATATTAAATTCAGAATTTTTATCTAGAATTATCTAAAAATTTAAATATTTGAAGATTAGCTCTTTAATGTAATATTTTATCATCAACATAAGAAGAGGTTGTACATGAGGGCTGTTGATAAATATTACATTCCTAAATAAGAATATTAATTATATGAACTGCCAAAATTATACTGTTATAGTTATCTCTAAATTAAAGCATTACATGTTGCCACCTCATTATTAAGTTGTGAAAGTGCAGATATGCTAATACAGAACCACAGGTAAATTCTGAAAAGTATTATTAAATAAATGATCGAATAAAAATAAGTTTGTCTTCAAGCCAGAAGACTTCTATGTGCAGTTTTTTATGAGAAATTCCCATTCCAGTCCACAGTGCTGGTTCAAGGTTCTAATGATTCCAAGTAAATTAGAATTAAGATTTCTAGGAATAATACAAAATAATAAGCACACTTTTATATCTCATATTTTAAATTTAAGGAACAAATGTCTCAGTACAGATTATTTTAAAGGTCCCATCAAATATTTACTCAGCATCCAACTGTATTTTGATGCCAGGTATTCAGATATTTTGATCAAAACTGGATAATGGCTTGGGTCTTTAAAATTGATACAACCACTGTGTTATTAAAATCTGATCCTATTCAACCTCAAATTCAATAGCTTATATTAAAATCATCAAAAATTCCCTTGGCTAAGCATACATGTAATTCATACAATTCTACTTACCCATGAAAATATTGATTTGATTATAAAGTAATCATAGTTCAGTAATTATAACTCAAGTACTCATGATTGTAAATCAAAAGTTCTCAATCATGGAAGAATTCGCTCCAGGGAGGATTTAAGTTTCAGGAGGGAATGTGGTCAAAAGGTGTGTTAAATATTTAGTTTTATCTTATGAATATAAAAAAACTACTTTTATATAAGTTTTGTAATTCATCAACATTTTCTATACTTTTTTTATTTAATTGATTAAAAAAGTTAAAAATCATCAAAATTTAAATAAATGATTATAAGTTTTTAATTTTGCATTAGGGGGATGTTCTAGCAATGGTGAAAGGAATACATGGAGCAAAACAAATTGAGAACCACTATTGTTAATATTCATATTATGATGAAAATCATTAATGAATTCTACATTAAACAATGCCTTTCTGAGCCTACTGACTACATCAATACTATTTAGCATACTCTGCAATACCAATAAAGTGACATCAAGTTTATTATAGAGTTTCACTCTGTGTTAATGCTCACTAGCTTTGAAATTAAAATGATGGCAAAATCCTAGTATACGGCAGAGCCTTAGCACAATTTTGAAATTTGTCAGCAACACCAAAATGACTCATTTACTGCTTATCATCATGTCGCCAAATCACGTGTGTACCATATACTAGGATTAAGCCAAAATGATTACTTCAATGAAACTAAAATAAAATCAAACATTGGTTGATCTTTACATTATGGTAACTTGGCGATTTTTTGGTGAAAATTTGGCAACCAACTCTCCTACAGCAACCCTCTATTTTTTTCCCCCGCCCCCATTTTGTCTTCACGAAGTAAAGACATGTTTCTTTTCTTTTTATCTACTGAACACTTCTCCAACAATCTACTAGCGAATTACACTTATGCTAGAAATTTTATCAAACAAAAACTTTAATCATGACAAAATATTCACTGCGAAATGGGAAAAAAAAGTGCAAATACATACTCCTTACGCGTTTTTAAAATAACATATACACATAAACCTGTACACGCCGCCTTTATTTTTACTTAAAAAAATCCAGAATTGCACAAAAAATGGCATTGTGCACCCTCTTCACTATATCCATGTACACTGCTTTTTTATCATAAATTAGAAAAATTTCACGAAAAACATGATAATTTCCTCAATCTTAAACCCGGTTAAAAGAACTTTATGAAATTACCTGATCGCAAAAAGTATTTACCCTTTCAAATATGAACATTTCACATATAAAATAAATAAATATCCAAACTTTACCTCTAAATCATCTATTATATAAACACACCAACGAATCATACCGAACCATTACAAATAATTAGTGTCAGATATTTAAATTATTTCATGCATGTTTACTCACTAAAACCTTACCAAATTCCTATACAAACATAAAATTCACAAATAACTATCATTAATTAAAATATATAATCAAAACACTACTAAAATATAAATGAGCACATACATTAAATTAATACATACATAATACCCATTTCGAATTCACTTTAGTTACGGCCATGGGACCAAAAATAAACAAACACTGTTTACACAACAGAATAAGCCAATAAAAATTTCCAGATTTTTCCCCCCCCCTTTTCCGATTAAAGAACCGTAATTCGTCCATAATATCACATGACCTTCCCAGATCCTCTCATTTCCCCCACACAAAATAATGCGTAATCGGAAAAGGTACTGCTCACATTATTACCAAAGTCCCAGGTAGTAACCTTTATCGCCTCCAAAATGTCGCCAAACTACCAGTTACCATATTGTAAAGATCAACCCAAACATTTTACTACTACTAAAACAACTTTACGCATTATATCAAAAAATCTCTTTCATCATATAACATACTTAATTGTATTTTTTCTTCTTTTTTTAAAATAATTTTTTACATTCGATACTAGCAATATACCAGTTCTTTATATACAGACAGAAAAGAAAAATATCGCCATATGACACAGAATTTTAGAAAATGTCATTAACTTTCAAAAAAAGTCAAAGAAAAAAATTTCATTTAGAGCTGCTTGAGGTAAATGCACTGAACATTAAGAAATAAAGATACTTCCGTAAAAAAATTACAGCTAAAATGTACGCGCAAAAGCGCCAAATCTAGCAAACGCGCCATTTACAGGCACCAATCTACAGTACGGTGATTCGAGGCATTTTTTAATAGTTGATATTTCTTAAGACGTGATGAAATATTATTTAATTTTAAATCCTTTTTGATATCCTATGGATTTAAAATTGGAATACCCATGACGAAAAGTCGCAAAAAATTTTGGTAAGTGAGAATCACCCATGCTTGGCGCGTTTTAAGAAGACATCTCGGTTTCCATGGCACATCGCCTATTTTCCTTTAAAAAAAATCCTAGATTGACACAAAATGGCACTGCACACAGCCTTGACTTTATCTATGTACGCAAACCTATTTTCAACTAAAAAGTAAAGAAATTTGACAAAAATCCAATTGTTTCTACCTTGAAAAGCGGCAAACAATGAGTGATTCTCTTTACCGAGAATTTTCAAAGGAAAGGCACAATTCATATGAAAATTACGTTTGAACAACAATGAGATGAAATTATGCTTTAGCGATAAGTCAGTAGCGAAATAGCGATGCAGATCCATTCAGTTATGTTAGCAATTTTTATATAAATTATATATGATCGAATAGTTATTTCTCTTATGCTCCATTCAGTCATGTTTAGACTTTTCATATATTATAATAAAAAATATATATGAATTAACCTTTCATCTAAATAAACATCAATCGTAGATAGTTATAATTATACTTCCCTTTCTTGCGCAATTATTTTTGGCAGTATCGGCATCAACAATAGTTTGGCGATTTTTTACGGCCCTCGAAACCGAATAGCACCAAAATGAATAATTTGAAAAATATTAAGAAACTCAAATATTTATTTAACAAAATTAATACAAAATATATACAAAATCAAAATAAGTATTATACATATTTACAAAAGCAATTAAGTCTTTTTTGCACTTTTCCAAGGTTTTTTAGGTTTCTTAGTAACATTAGCAACAATAACATCAGCTTTCACACCTTCATTTATGCTAGTCCAAAGTGTTTTTGCTGCAACAGAACTGCTTAACATTTTATTAAATTCTTCTTCAGAATAATTAACTAAATCTGAAATACTTTTTACATTTCTCATAACAGACCACATATTTTTGGAATTTAGACCCGGTAACTTCGATATAAAATCAAAAGGAACAGTATTAAATTTATTTGCTGGAATTTCACCATCGCTACCTTCTGTTTTCATTAAAATTGCCTTTTTCTCATCTGGTTGTTCTTTCTTCATTTTCAGAAGTTCAAACATTTCAGCAGTGGAATAGGGAGAAGGGCACCATAGTATGCGTAACTCGGGAAAGTGGCATGTAAGCAAAATGAGTTTCGAAATCACATTTTGAGCACTATTATTGAAATAATATTTACCTTGTAAAGAAAATGCTTTATTCTGATCAAACTCAATAAGCAAAATTGGTTTTTTATATAACCTACACATCGATTGTGTTTGTGAATATAATCGCCCACTATTTAATGATCCAATTAGATCACTTACACTTTTTCTTTCAACAACCATTTCAGGTGTTAGGACATAATCACCAATTTCTAATGTTACAGGTACAACTTCTATACCCCTTCTGTGAATTAATGCTGGAAGTTCACTACGAAATTCTCGCATATCGACTATAATTTTCTGATCTTCCAGCTTTCTACATTGTCCTCCTGCTTTTCTAGAATTCACAGTCTCACTTGCCAAATCAGAACCTCTGACTAAATCAGGATGATCTCCTGTTTTTCCATCAATACCTTCAGGTAAAACTATGTGCGCCTTTTCTTTTATCAAGAACTCAAAAGCTTCTTTTTCTCTTCTCAAAGTTGTTAAAAAACACTGCTCTTCAGCAGATCCACTATATACAAGAAAATACACTTTCACTTTCACACTAGGATTAATGGCCTGGTAAAGTTCGATCCTGCGAATAATTTCCATGTCTCCATCATATAAAATCACATATTTAGGATGATGGAGATCACAGATGTTTTGGAACTGAAAATGGTTTCCTGAGTGATGTCTGATAGGATAAAATTCAATACTTAAACTAGGAAATTTTTCAGATAAATCACAATTTGAAGATTCTAATTCTTTTTCTGAAGCTGAATTATTTTCATCTGAGGTGCAATTCATCTGAGTTAGTGTTTGTTCATCAGCTTTTAATTTCCTCTTACGTGTTTTTTTACTCATCTGCGTTTTCTCTTTCGCTTCTTCTGGGAAATGTTTGGCAAAAATTTTAAACAAGTATTCTTGCCCACCATACATTATGCATTCTTTTAACTGTTTACTAGTAACATCATCATTCACTATTATAATAACCATCTGTTTTTCTCCACTCTTATTTTCATCATCTATCTCGTTTAAAATTTCAAGTAATGCATCCCATTTAGCATTTTCTTCAAATACCCACTCCTTTTCTGACTTTTCACCTGAATTTTTTTTCTTAGCATTACCAAATACCCGCTCTTTTGCATGCAAAAACAAATTATCAGATGCATCCAAAAATAACCAGTCTGAAATCTGAGTACTGATAGTTACATTATCTTTAAAGGTTTTAAGTAGATTATAAAAAGAAATGCAATCAAGTTGTGTTAAATATTGTAAAACAGATCTAAGAAATTTAAGATCTGTTAACAACCTTTTTGTTTTTGCACTGAGCTGATGCCATACTGGATCAAGCTGATACTTAATAATTTTGTCAAATGCTCTTGCTACAGCATTTTCTACAGTTAATTCATCTGTGTCTAGAGATGGGTTTATGTGTTTCAATTCCTTTACACAAAAACTCATGAGATCCAAGAGAGCAATTTGAATTGATGTCATCGCACTTGTCATAGAAACATGAATTTCAAATACTTCTGGTTTTGCTTTTTCAATACTGCTTGCAACTACAGCATGAAAACGAGGCCAAAGAAACAGATTTTTAACGAACAGATTCCTCATTATGCGCTGCACTTGAGAAAATCCTCTAGTAAATGCACAAGCATTAGAAGAAATTGCTTTGATAAAACCTTTATTATTTTTCATCCGATATAAACGAACAATGAATGCTTCTTGACACGACTCTAATATTTTATGAGCACGATAGACAATTATCCCTGTCACAAGATCAATAGGCACTCGATCAACTAACATATCCACAACGAGAATTCTTGAGGATACAAATATTATTCCGCCATCCATATACACTTCATAGCGATCTTTAGTACTTACTTCAGAGGTTATCACTCTAGGAAGCGTAGTCACACCAGAATCCTGGAGTTTGTTGATGACATATTCTTCTTCGGTCGGTGCTGTACCAATAACCAAAACTAAATTACCAGGATCATTAAAGGTTTTTATAATGTTAATGAGTAATCTTTCGACTCCTATACCTTTAGCAATAACTACTAAAGCATCATCGTGAAATAATTCAAGAAACATCTGATTCTCGAAATCTAAAAGAGCCATTGCGCACATGCAAATGTATAGCAGATTAATAAATAGAAGATGATTTTCTAACTAAAACTTTAATTACAAACATATTAGAATTATACAGCTTTCTACGTCAAGTTATTCATCACAGTACAAATAAGACAAAGCAAACTTACGTACTGACGTTAGAGAGAGAAATAATCCAATGTACTCTCTTCCGGACGTCTGGATGATTGAAAAGTCGGACTGATAGATCTTACGTAACATAAATATTTATTTCATTTTACTGCATGCAATAGTTTTATTTTCGAATACAAAATTTTCTTTAGGATATATATAGCAGGCTTAAAAGCTATAGAAAAAAATATTTTTTATTATTCGAGATTTTCAACATAAAAATTGATAATGAAAGCGAAACCTAGAATAAAGGTATAACCGTAACTTTGTGTGAAAAATGAAAGCCTGCGAAAGTTGAATGTGTTAAGTTACTTTTGTGTATTTGATATCTTTAAGTCATATCTTTCAGTTTATAAACATGGATAAGCCTCAGATTATACTTCATGCAGAAGTTTCATTGAATTATACTGTTTTTGACACGAAATGGATTCCAGTCAGTACCAAATTTATTTCCTTGGGTACGCATAGTAAAGGAACAGGAGCATTTCAAATTTATGAAATTTCTGGTGGTAAAGTTCATCTTGTATCAGAAGTAAGATAAAAATATTAGTATATTTAACAATGTTGCACGAATTTTATTCAAAAAATTTTGGAAGCACTTCCGCAGAGAACCCGGTAAATGTAAACATCGCCAACTCTGGCGATAATAGTTCAAACCAGGTAACCCAGCCAATTTATTGTTTTCGCTTGTTCGATTTTGCAACCCTTCCTCTGCTTCATTTTGTTGAAATATCACTGTTTTTTCGCATTTGCAGATTTACATTTTCTTATTTATTTATTTATTTTTTCTGAAATTTTAAAACGAATAGATAGAAATATTTTCATAGATGAGACCAGTTCTCGTTCGGGATGAAAGGAAGAAATACGGCGGGATGGTGAAATGCTAATTTGTAACACGCTGTTCACGTTGTGTGTTCTTAATTATTAACAGCTCTAAGAACCATAGGTTCCAACCTCTAAAATAATTTGTTTCCGTAGGCCGGAAAAATATGCATGCATTTAAATAATTAAATATGCTTTTATTTTTATTATTGGTTTTGTCATCTAAAATTATGAGAATAATCAATTTTTATGCGTAAATTTTAACAAGATAATATATTGTTAATTCTAACATAACCTTTCAGAGATGGTAGGTGTGACATAAATAGATGATTAAAATTGAAATAAAAAATATTATTGATTATCTAATATGACAGAATAGTTTGATGCATCCACCATGGTCTCAAAATTAGCAAACCACTGCTGATTCGGAATATATGTTTTCTGGTTTAATTGGATTAAGACAATTTTTTTTTCATTTCTCACGTTTAACCGGTTATTTTTCAATCATTATACGAATTTTATATTTTAAAATGAATTTTTTATTTCCGTTTAAATGCTTAGATATTTCTTATGCTATATTCTTGTTTTCTTGCTAACTTGATTTATTCAAATTTATTTCGTATATCACTTTAAAACCGGTTATTTTACATCTACATGCTTATTATCTGATTTTACTACCAGTGCTTGTTTGTTGCTACTTGAATTTACATGCATTAAAAATCACGTTTACAAAATATCACATTTACGGCTCGGCTCATCGTCGATGAACCGCGAGCTTGGCAAGTAAAAATACAACGGCGCCAATGGATTCTTTCCCGAAGCGCCAACGGGTTTTCTGCGGATGAAAACCCAAAATTTTCAGTACCTTTAAAAGCTGCATGAACTAATTTTGTAATTCAAGAGTTGTATATTCTCTCTTGAAATATCGAGGCTTTGGGTAAATTATGCGTATGAAAGTTAAATACTAGGATTTCTGTATGTATGAATTTGAACTATTAAACATGTAATGAAGATTACCTTTCTTATACATAGTGTTTGGAAGTTCATATTAAACTTTGTATATACACATTAAAAATTATAAAATTCCGCAAACAGTACAACTTATACTTAAATATATAAGTATTAATTAATATTTTATTATTTATCTATGTGAAACTTTATTTTTACCAAATACAGTAATTTTTTAAAACTTGCTTTTTAATTTTCTTTGTGAATGCCTAATATTTTTTAATTTTGTGAATTCCAGTCTGCTTTTAGTTAATTTATATGTCTTAATATATCCTACTAGAAAATTAATAATTTATAATAAAAAACTTGGCTAATCTTTGGAATATGGTAACAGGTAGTTTGGTGACATTTTTGTAAGGGGATAAAGGTTACTAGCTAGGACTTTAGCAGTGTACATGGACAGAGTCAAGAGTGTGCGCAGTGCCATTTTTGTGCAATTCTGGGATTTTTTTTAAGTAGGTCGATGTGTACATGAATACCATGTATGTGCAGTTCTTAAAAACGCGGCAAGCAGTGGGCGATTCGTACTTTCTCCCAAATTTGCACCTAATCTTCATCGATTAGCACCTTTTGTTCCATAAAGTTCTAGCATAAGCGTAATTCGCTAGATTCGTTGGAAAAAAACTTGAAAAAAAAAAAAACCTTTACTTGTGAAAACAAAATGGCGTTCCAAAAAAGCTAGCAGGTTCTGTTGCAGGTGGTCGCCAATTTTCGCCAAAAAAATCGTCAAGTACCATATCGAGATTAACGAAAAACTTTCCATATACATCTCCAAAGAACAAATTTAAAAATATCAATAAAAAAAATGGAACTACTCTATATGCCCTCAAGTCGCCAATTTCGCACCAAATATTTTGGCTAGAAACTTCACGCTTCCATATTACTATCTAAATTTGTCTACATTTCGAACTTTTATCCTAAAATGTCTCCAAAACGGGTTCGCACATTCAAAACTACTTTTTCAACATACATTTACTAAAATCTGAAACAAAAACAATAAATTAAATAGCCACACGCAAGTTTCTAACCAAAAATTTTACAAGAATCCATGTACACAGCGCATTTTTACTTAAAACATCTACGAATGGCACAATGTAGGCACGAATTATCTACAAACTACACACACTCGCTTTATAAATTACGTAACAACAATAAATTCAAAGAATACCGTGTACACACATCCTGTTTAAACTTAAAAAAAAGTCTAACAATTGCACAATTTAGCAAGGAGGAATCTACATCTATGCACTCCTCACTTCAATAAATAGCATACAAAATAAATTTCAATATCCATGTACACGGCTTCTGTTTCAACTTTAAAAAACTCTACGAATTGCCAGTCTAGACACAAACAACAAAAGAACGAAATAATTTCAAACAATTTAAAAAAACAAAAAAACAGAAATCATACTAAAGAACCAATGAACATAACATTCTACAAATAAGAACAAGGATAAAATAAAATGCACTTACCATAATTAATGCGTTTTCGAATAGCAGAAATATAATTCATACGCCTTTAACGGCCGCCACGTAATCACTATCGTATTTCATGACAGCAGACACACTATCCAGAAAATTTATACTATGGTTCACAAATAAATAAAATCACAATTCTGGTTACCATGATAGTTTTAACATTGTTTTAGCTTCCTGATTTTATTTAAAGGAAAATAGATCATGGACAAATTTGCACAATGCCTAGTTTGTGCAATTCTAGAATGTGTTTTTAAGTGACAACAGATCGATGTGTACATGGACACAGAGTTTGTGCAATTCTTTGACTTCTTATTTTGGTTTTGTGTAGTGGCCATCTTGAAATTGTGCCTTCCTGGCGCCAGTCTTGGCGTTCAAAAAGAATCGCAAAAAAAACAAGGGGTACCCAATTGTAAAATTTTACCAAAAAATCTTTAATTGCAAAAAAAACCAAAAGTAAATTTTAAATATTGAAAAAGTAGCTATTGTCATTGATTCCAGATTAATCGGCTTATCAAGGAGATAAACCAATCTACCAGCACTAAATTAAGAGAGTGTTTCATCTTACTTCTAAGTAAGCATCAAATTATTTGCTAGATTCAAAGCATAAGTCACATAAATATTCAGTCCAAATAAAGACATTAGTCCCTTTAATCCAAAAGAATCTTGTAAAGCAAAATAGCAAATAATCTTAAAATTAAAGTTTCTCAATAAGAACACAATCTGAATGAGATGCTTACTTTAGAAGACATATCCCCTACGCTCTCATTTTCAAATTAAAAAAACAGAAGTAAACATATTAGAACATTGAAAGTTTATTCTAAATCATAAGATTTTTTTTTTTTTTTTTGGTCATTTTATTTACAGTTGTTTTTTACAGGATACTAAGCCAAAAGGTTTCAAATGTGGGACATTTGGTGCATCTGGGTTGCATCAACGTCAATTAGCTACTGGTGATTTTGAAGGCAATTTACAAATATGGTAATTTTGAAGCTGTTTGCACTAATTTACAAATTGTATTGTATCATTTTCAGTTTAACCTTTTCACGTGTGCTCGAAAAACAGTTGTGTACCTTCACTGGAGGCTCTTGGCTCAGCGGTTATGCAAAGGGGGAAAAATTATCGAATAGAGTCTTGACGACTAGGTGATTAGTGCTCTTTTGTCGAGCAGACAGGGAAACTGTCATGATTTCCTTTCAATCTAGTTCCAGTGCCCTAGGCGTTAGAATGGGATGCACTAATCGCTTTCACACTGCAAGTAGATGAATGCAGTTTTCCCAAGGGGGGCAATATTTTATCTTCTTCAGATGAAATGTATGCTACAACTGTAAAATTTTGCTCTAAAAAGTGTTCCATTTTATGATTTAAATAGTTTTTTAAACTTGCGCATAGATTATGTACTAAAAAATAAGCGAAGCAATCAGAGTTAAATATATTCACTTGTCATCATATCGAAAATTCAGTGAGTTAAAATATTCAAACATTTCCTGCAAGCAATATATACATTTTCATTTTTAATAGCATTATTATTCTGATGTTGAAGAACAAACTAAATAGAGTTTATTTACTACAAAGAAACTAAAAGCTCTACTAAAAAGCATTTCCGGATTCCAAAATGAGTGTTATTACTTTTACACCTCTGGTAATATTCATTTCTGGAGATAGAAATTGGTCACTTGCATTTGTCCTGCACTAAAAAATTTATAATGACCAAGAAATTTTTTTATTTATTTTTCTTTCATGTGGCGTTCAATAGCGATCCAGAGTTGATCTGCTTTACATCAGGCATATGAGATGTTTAATTTTTTTTAACCCGCTTCATATAGTTTTTTGGTTCAAGAAAGAAATGCGATGCAAACTCTGGAGCTTTAGAAAATAAAACCCTTGTTGAGTTTCAATGTATTTAATAACAAAAAATTAGGTTTACCAACTTTTACCTTAGAATAGAAGGGAAACAGTTGTTTGTAGCTGATTTATATTGTTGTTGCATTTTTTCTTTAAAAGCAAAATTGCATATTCAGGAACCCATTGAAATTAAAAAAAGTAAACATCTTTGTCATTGAATAGGAGAAATATTTCTTCAGTTTTTTATGATCTTACATTTTCAGAATACTAAAATCACCTTTGAGGTATCAAATTGTTATGCCAAAATTTTCAGATCTCAAGCCTTTTTACAGTTGTTGCTTTCTTTGGGAGTAATGAAGCTGGGAATGAAGATTCGTACTGAGTTTGATGAATATTAATGAAGAATTCGTACTGAGGAATTAAATTCAGGGAACTAAAAAGTGGTACACATCTGAATTCCTGTATACATGCCTTAGTATTCCAATAATCTATCGTTTGATTCCCTTCAAAACACAATTCTCATGTAAAAATTAATTACTTTCTGAACACTACTAGCAACTAAGTGTTTAAGGCCTCTGAATGCTGTTAGTTCGACGTCAGGTAATCGAGCTGGCCGCATGGTCGGTTTTCGTTGTTTCCCCAATGTGAAACGTGAATACGAGCCAATTTTCTCTAAAGATCTCCACAAAGGCCTCTTTTTCTTTAGGTAGGCAGCCTCCGTGTGCTTTCAAATATTCAATTAAACTAAACGGTATCTAACTTCTGAACGAATTGATATATATATGACATTATAAATGCGAGTGGCCGTAGCAAGTATAACTGGCGCCTGGGGCAAAATACCTTTTTGGCGCCCCCTTAAAAACTTTCAGTAATATGATATATAGAATATATTCTCAATAAGAAAATAATGCAAATAATAATAAAATGCTGAATCTGCCATAAATACTCAAAATATATAGAATAATCACTACCTAACTACTAGCCTTGATTAGGAATGCATCTGTGTCGGCACAAAAATCAGACGTACGATGATCTAGAATTAGTTAAAAAGGTGTTATTTATTTTACATTTATATAAGTGTTTTTAAAAAGTACAGTTTTTAAACAATTAAAGTTTTATATACTTATAGATAAAGATATGTGGCAACTTGCCTACTACAACTCATTCTGCCAGTCTGGTAACCCATAGCAACCAAAACAAATAATATTTATTCTATTCAATTGTTATAATTATTTAACGATCTGTCTCAAAAAAATTGTACTACCATAATTGGTGACACGTATTATTACGAATAGCAACCTTCAATGTTGCACGAATATGGAGTTTATATGTCAAAATTCTGAGGCAGCAGTAAGTTATTCAGTGTGATGAGATGCAAGTAAACATTTCACCTGTCATTTCAAGCGTTGTGCCGCATTCCGGCGATTCAACATTTTCTGTCATAATTTCAGCGGATATATGTATCGTCTACTGTATTTGAGCCGCCAATTTCTCTGATTTCAAGTACCAAGAACTGTGTCCACTATATACATAGTGATTATTTTTCTATACATATATTACTGTGCATATTTGATTGATCTAAAGTGGATGACAACGATGCTGCTTTACAATTTTCGCGAGTCGCAAGCCACCGCCTTTTTGTCGGCAAGACCCATCGTTATGGTTCATTCAATTTTATGCGCAGTTGAGTCACATTACTGCCGACGAAACTCAATTTTATACAGCGATCGCCGTGTTAGAATCAGAGGTACTGCAATCAGCTTGTGAAATAATTCTGAATTCACTGGCGACGGACGAATCTTTAAAAAAAAAATTAATTTCTGTTTATGAAGAATCCGAGACAGAATCAAGCAGTTATTGCACGATTTACGGTTGGGTGATATGAGGCCTTCTCAATCGCTGTCTAAAATGTAAAATGTCTAGCCGCCGGTAACCTAACGGATAACATTCTCAAAACAATATGGATGAATAACTCCCATCTAACATGCAAACCATTTTAGCAGCCAGTACGAAGCCACTTAAAAATCTTCCCGAAACCGCTGATAAAATTCACGAGCTGACCATTCCAGCTCAAATAAACGCAGTGCAGGCTCCTGCTATTGTGGCGTTACAGCTCAAATTGATGATTTTGTGCAAACAGGTTGCTCAGTTAGTAGCCATCAAGCTGAAACATTTCAGCGCAACCGCTCCACATCACGTGTCGAAATACACGTCGTAGCCCACTGAGGAAACGTTATGAAAGCCGGGTATTCATAACCCGAGTATTTGTTTTTAATCACCACAAATTTGGAAACAAGGCAAACAAATGCCGCCCACCGTGTCGTTATAACGACCAGGGAAACGAGAAGGGCCGTTGCTCGAAGTTGTGAACGACAGCGGCCGGAATTTTGCACGCCTTTTCGTTATCGAAAAGAATTCGGACTTGAGGTTTCTTGTAGACACTGGGGCTGATGTTTCTGTCATTCCACCACATTTTCACGAACAAAAGCGCCTTACCAACTTACAACTTTATGTAGCAAATGGAACTCCTATTCAAACTTTTGATGAACGCCTGATATCTGTTGATTTAGAATTGCGCCGCAACATCCAATGGCCATTCATTATTGCTACTGTTTCAAGTCCTATTAGTGGCGCTGACTTTTTTCAAAATTTTCTGCTTGTCGATCTTAAGAATCCCCGTTTGATATATTCCGAGAGTAATTCGCATTAGTCAAGATTGAGCATTAAACTGATTTCGGGTAACTCCCCATGGCCATCAACTCCTCAGAGAATTCCCTACAAACACGCGCCCAGTTATGGGTATTTCCGAACCCAAGCACGATGTACTACATTATATTGAAACTACCGAACCTTCAATTGCCTCTAAACCAATGCGCTTACCTCCGAACAAGCTTAAAGCCACCAAGAGGAATTTCAATATATGATGGAACAGGGAATTTGCCGTCCTTCAATAAGTTCATAGGTGAGTCTTCATCTAGTTCGGAAACGAAATGGTAACTGGCGCCCGTGTAGCGATTATAGCCGGTTAAATGCAGCTACAATTCCTGATCGTTACCCAATCTCGCAAATTCAAGATTGTATGCAAGTTTTAGAGGAAAAGCTATTTTTACAACCCTTGATCTTGAGCGGTCGTATCACCAAGTTGCCCGTTAACCCAGCTGAATATTCCAAAAGCTGCGGTTATTACGACCTTTTGAACTACTATTTGAGTTTCCGGTCATGACTTTCGGCTTATGCAGTGCTGCTCAAACGTTCCAACGCTTCATGAATCAGGTGTTAATCGGCCTTCGACTTTTGTGTACCTTATTTTGATGATGTCTTAATCGCCTCCTCTTCAGAGCAAGAACACCTACCACATTTTGAGAACAGTTTTTTTTGAACGTTTTTCAAAGGTACGGTGTCGGTCTTAATCCTTCTAAATGCGTTTTTGGCCAACCGAGAGTATCCTTTCTTGGTCATGAAACTTTCCGCTGATGGTTTTCGACCGCTTCCAGACAGAGTCACAGCTATCCCCGATATACCCGTACCATCTTCAGTGAAGGACTTAAGAATCTTGCCATGCTCAATTTTTATCAACGTTTCTTACCTTATGCAGCGACCATACAAGCTCCTCTAAATTCTTTTTTGGTTTGAAGTAAGAAAAACTATAAACGTGTTACATAACCTGGACCACAGAATCCCGCGAAGTGTTCCAAAAATGCAAAAATGATTTAATTTCGGCAACAAATTTTGCAGTATCCTTCCACATCTAAACTATTATCACTCTACGTTTATAAGGTATTTTTCCCTCTTTCCTAGCCTGCCTTCGTGGTGTAGTGGTTCTGCACGCTGGGCCGGTACTCCAGACGTCCGCGGTTCGATTCCCGGCGAAGGCGTAGCATATTTTTCATATCCTCTGCTTCCCAAAAATAACCTAATGTCTGTCCACGTTGACGTTTCTCAGCGTGGATCAACAACAGCTATAGGAGCAGTTTTACAACAGAAAGATCAAGAATTATGGAGACCACTTTCACATTTTTCTAAAAAAAACTTTCACCAGCACAAACCAGATACAGCACTCACGGTCGCGAATTGTTAGGAGTTTATGAAGCTGTCAAATATTTTCGACATATGCTAGAGGAACGCATTTTCATGAT